AAAAAAAAAAAAAAAAAAAAAACATAACCTATTTCAAAATAGATATCAAAATCAAAAACCTAAGGGTATCACTTCCCATATCAAAAGCAAAACCCATTTCAAAATAGATATCAAAACCAAAGCCAAAGATCCAAACTAGGTATCACTTTCAATATCAAAAGTAAAACCCTTTTTAAAATTGTGAAATCCCACATTGGTTATGGAGTAGAACGAATCACTCTTTATAAGAGTGTGAAAATCTTCCCCTAACAGACGCGTTTTAAAGCCTTGAGGGAAGCTCGAAAGGGAAAGCTAAAAGAGAACAATATCTTCTAGCTAACGGTGGTATCAAAATCAAAAGCAAAACCCATTTCAAAATAGATATCAAAATCAAAAACCAAGATCCAAAGTAGGGTATCACTCCCCGTATCAAAAGCAACTCATTTCAAAACTGTGATATCCACATTAGTTGAAGAGAAGAACGAAACATCTTTATAGTGTAGAAACCTTCCCCAAACACGTTTTAAAGCCTCGAGAGGAAGCTCGAAAGAAAAAGCTCAAAGAAAACAATATCTGCTAGCGGTAGGTTTGAACCGTTACAAAAATAGATATCAAAATCAAAGCCAAGATCCAAACTAGGGTATCACTCCCCATATCAAAACCAAAACCCATTTCAAAATCGATATCAAAATCAAAAACCGAGATCCAAACTAGGGTACCACTCCCCATATCAAAACCAAAAACCATTTCAAAATAGATATCAAAACCAAGGCCAAGATCCAAACTAGGTATCACTTCCCATATCAAAACGAAAACCCATTTCAAAACAGATATCAAAATCAAAAACCAAGATCCAAACAAGGGTATCACTCCCCATATCAAAAAGCTTAGATCTTGACCCAAAATACCTCATGCTTAGCATCCCACAGCCTCTTCCCAGATTGCTTATGATACTTATCCAAGATATCAACCAACCTTCAAAAAAAAAGAGTAAAAAAAAACCTCAAAAAAAGCTCAATTTTTTAAAAATTTTGAAATGTTTTGAATCTCTTACTGCATTGAAGGGCTGCAATACTCATGCATTTTGCCAGAGCTAGCAAAAACAACAAGAGAAACATTAGCATCACAAAGAACAGTGATTTCTTTAGCCTTCTTGATTATCCCATTTCGTCTCTTTGAATAAGCGACTTGTCGGTTGGTTGAGTTTTCAATCCGCTTGATCTCGATCTTCCCTCTTCCCATTTGTTTGTGTTTTTCTGTTTTTGAGCTAAGGAATTTTGAAAGGCAATGGAAAAGGGCAGCCATTGAAGAGGGTTTAAAAGGAGAGAAGGAATAGAAGAGGTTTCTATATTGGGTTTGGAAGCTTATCAACTTTCTAAGTCACATAG